TAGGGATGGGAGAAAAACATCGATACTTTTTAAACATCGATGTTACGAGGCAGTTATCGATGCAAAACAATCGATTTCTTTTGAAAGCGATATATCGAGGGATATCGATATTGTCTCTAGAAATATCGTTTAATATTCAGTAGTGATGGGAATAATCGAATGAATTAAATAATCGAGAGGTAACCGTTCGAATTAATTTTATAATCGAATGATCATTCGAATGATATATAATCGAAAATTTCCGACCTATTCCAAATTATATGCGAAACATGACTCTAGGTAAATGAATGACTTTCGCGTATTGCGGCATTTCTTCGTTCTCAGTTGAGTGGTTCATCAGCTTGTGTTTAAAATGAGTAGTCGCTGCCTAAAGAGATCCATTGTTTGGGTTTTTGAAAAAAAAATTAGATAGAAAACATAATTTTTGTATTATTTTCATTCATATGAATTTCTATCCTCTCTAAATAAAGCTCCCTTCTAAACCGTCCTTCAAAACCGCGCGATGCCACTTATAAAATTACTGCATATCTTTTTTATGCGGTGATATTCGATTGTGTCGTCTCATCTCATCCGTCCTCTCGGCCGTCTTATCTCGAGGTTTTGTAGCTCGTTAGAGCGTTGGAATAATCGAAACACCTGCGCTCTCGCTCGAGCAGCGCGTTTTCGTTATTCGATGATGACGAGTGACGATTGACGTTAATAATGCTGTGGTCATTCGTCTCCAAATAATCGAATGAATTTATATGATCACTCGAGATATCTCGAGAGGTTGTCATAATCGATATAATCGATAATTTTCATTCGAGTAGTCCCATCACTAATATTCAGAACAAATATTTCGATAAATATTTACAGTCTTAATCCAATTTAGTCGTCTTCAATTAAAATCGTCTAATTTTGTGATGTTCAATGTTCAGTGTTCAGTGAGGATTCACGAAAAGAATGTCGAGTTGGGACTATGGTACTTGAAAATTTTTTAGATTTCTTTCTTTACTTACTAAATTTTTACAAATATTCAATCCTTCGCTGATCATTTTGTATTGGTTATGGTAAGTAATATAATGTAAATAGAAAATAATTTTGTTTTGTATGTAACGGACTTCAATCTTTCGAAACTAGTTGGATTCAGATCATAGAAAACAAAACTATTGCACTAGTAACACTCGTAACTGAACAAATCAAAATGTATTATTATCATTTTTTTAGAGTTCGGTACTTATTTATTATATTTTTTAAATATCTTGAATAAAAAAATGTTACTAGTCTAGGGTTGTTTTTTTTTTCGATTTTCGAAAAAAATCGATGTTTTACTCCGATATATCGAGAATCGATAATAAATTATATGATAATCGATATAACATAACATCGATGTTTTTCATTAAATCTGCCCATCCCTATGAGTACGTTGACAAAAGCTCGCTTTTATATGTTTAGGTGCGGTAGAGCTAGGCTCCGCCCACCGCACCGAAAACTCGACCTTATGCGACATCTTCCCCGTCGAAAAAGGCTTTGGCTTGGGTTTCTCTGTTGTACCTCCATTTATTGGTACAACTCAACCTATGTCAACAAAACTAGAACAATACAAAACGATTAAACAATATATACAAGTCACAAAATAAATCTCCAAAACTCTATACAAAAATAAACACAAATGGTACAAAATAACGAAAATAAAAACGAAATTCTCTCTTCAGGCTCGCTACCATTGTAGCGGCCACCGCACTTGGTCCTAGGAGACCTGGGGAGGCGACCTGGGCCGCTGTCGCGCTTTATAGTACCAACCCCATGGTACATCGCTGTTGACGACGTTCTCTGCTGGGACGCTATGCCGGGGTGCCAGTGGACTTCGTCCGGCATTCCCATCCTTACCAGACTGTCCGAGTGCCAGGGTGCCAGTGGACTTCATCTGGCACTCACCATCGACTTTCCGGTCCTGCCACGCCAGGGTGCCAAGCGAACGTCTTCTGGCGGGCGCTGATTTGTCTAGGGAACGTAATATCAGGGTACCAGAATGTACACCGTCTGACACTCTCCTAGGCTCCTGCATACTGCTGCACTAGGGGGACATCATCAGAAGTAACCACTAGGTTACTATCGGTATTGGAACTCGGCTGTTCATGATCAATACCAATTGCATCTAGGTCGGTAGCTGATATACTCAGCCGGCCAAGGAAGGAGTGTGGCACCTGCCACCTGGGGGTCGTCCTTCAGGTGTAACCTCCGGGCTACAAGTTGAGGTGGGCGGCATCTCCATGGATGACGGCCTCGGAACTTAGACGAGCGTCGCCCCGCTTGCGACGCGTTTGGGGGCACGTCGCAACCGAATCGCCAAGCGTAGAACTTTCCGATTGGTCCTTGGGATTAACATCGGCGCCTCGGCTCGAACCCACGCCGTTTACTAGACTAGTCGACGTACCGGGTACCTGATCCGCAGGTTTCGGTCCGGGATTGCGTCGCGCCGTTTCGTGGTGTGCTCACTCATCGTCTAGTGGTTGAACGCTACCTGCTTCCTCCTCCGGTTGGCGGGACAGGTAGTCGGCCAGCTCGTTACGAGCAGAAGGTACATGGGTGACATCAAGGCTGTATTCCTGCAGCATAAGGGCCCACCTGGTTAGTTTAGCCTTGTCATCCTGGTAGCGATGAAGCCACAATAACGACCGGTTATCCGTAATCAGGTGGAACGGCCTATCCTGCAGGAACATTCTGTACCGGCAAACCGCCCAAACCGCCGCAAGCACCTCCTGCTCGTTTATATGGTAATTTAGCTCTGTTTGCGTGAATTTTGCAGATGCGTAAGAAATGATCCTCCGTTGTCCACTGTCATCTCGTTGAAACAGCACGGCCGCCATACCTACACTGCTCGCGTCCGTGTGCAGGTAAAAATCACGACCGGGGGTCGGTCTACTTAAATACAACGGCTGTGACATCTCGGACTTAACGGCCTCGAAGGCCTGTTGCGCACTCGGAGTCCACCTAAATTTCCTGCGGTCGGCTTGCAATATATCCGTCAGCGGCGCGGCTAAGGCGGCGAAATTCAGGATATATTCCCGTAGCCAGTTCGCGGTACCAAGGAACTGTCGGAGCTCCTTCATGTTACGGGGGATCGGAAAGTCGCGGATTTTTGCTAGGTGTTTTGTTGCGGTACATTCTCATTTTCCGTAATTACGTGTCCTAGGTATTCAATTTGACTACCGGCTATTACGCACTTGGTTGGCGCACACACCAACTCGTGCATCCCCAACCGCTCGAGCACCAGGTCCAGGTGTTTCGCGTGGTCCTCCAGATTATCGGAGTAAATTACGATATCGTCCAAGTAAACCTTGGCAAACCGGTGCAAGTAACCCTCGAGGACGCCCACCATCAACTTCTGGAACGTCCCAGGAGCTCCCGCGAGGCCGAAAGGCATCATGTTAAACTCGAAGGACGCCCCATCCGGAGTGGTGAACGCCGTATAGCGCTTAGCCTCTTCGGCCACAGGCACCTGCCAATATCCACTCTTCAGGTCTAGAGTGGTAAAAACGCGGGCTGTACCTAGCTCTCGATGCGTATCGGGGATGGGCGGAAGGTGGCTCACTTCCGCCACCGTCTTGGCGTTCAAACCGCGATAATCCACACATAACCGGGAAGTCCCGTCTTTCTTCGGTACCATTACCACCGGGCTGGAGTAATCCGACGCGCTTCTCCGTATGATACCTGACCGCAACATTTCCGCGACTTCTTCATTAATGGCCCGTTTTCTCGCCTCCGTGCATCTATACGTAGGACTGCGCACTGGTACCGCGTCCCGCAAGATAATGTTATGCCGTGCCGCCAAAGTCGTAGCCGGCCGCTGGATCTCGCTAAACGTCCGCGCGTGCTTCCGCAGTATTCGCGCAAAGTCCTCCCGCCACGGATTTTCTAAGTGTCCAACCAAATGTACCGGCGGGGGTTCGACTGCCGGTGTGGCCACCTTTTGGCCTCAATAAGCTATCTGCCGCTGGTTACAACCAAAATATAAGCATCCTCGTTGGACGTCAATAACCGCTTGGCTCGCCCGGAGCCACTCTATACCTAACACGACCTCCTCGCGTAGGTCGTCTACTACCGTGAACATCATTGGGGTTAAAACTTGTTGGATACACGTATTAAGTTGAATACGCCCTAGCCGGATGTTATTGCGACCTACCGACATAGTTTGCCGCTCCTTTGTCGTAAGCCAGCTGGTGCGTAGAAAATTTTCTGACGCCCCCGTATCAACTAGCGCAGTTAACCGGCGCCCCTCCAGATCCAACATTACCCTCGGACATCTCTCGGCGCTAATCCCATCTACGTCGTTCAGATTTCCTTGCCGCTGTTGTGGGCAATCGCGAACGAAGTGATCACCCCCGCAATTATAACAGTCTCTCGTTCCTGGTTGCGCTCTGCGTACTTCTCTGGGCGGTGGTGCCGGTGGCGTAGATCGCGGTTGACCCCGCGAGCGGTCTTCTCGTAAATCGCCCTCCATTTGACCCACGACTTCTAGCAAGGTCTCCAGGCTGGAGAAGACCCGACCTCGCAGAATTACTCGCGTTGCCGGCCTTAATAACTCCAATATTAAAGACGTACGTTCTTGCGTTGGCGTTTCAGGCGCTAACCGTTGGAATAGTGCCCACTTTTCCATCGTGAAGCTATAAGCCGATTCATCCGGGAACTGAGGTCGCCCGTACAACTGCTTTCTCAAATTTGCCCGCGTGGCCAACGAATCATACTTCGCGAGGAATTGCGCCTTGAAGATCTTCCATGGTAATTCCGGTCGTTCAATCCGCTTAAACCAACTCAGGGCTTCGCCCTCTAACACGCGCCGCACGACAGGCTCAATTTTATTCGTTGGAATTCGGTTTTCGCGCAAATGTCTCTCAACTCGCTGGATGAACACCGCTGGTTGTTCAATATCTTTTCCCGAGAACTCACAATCTGACTCGATGTCGCAAACCGGCGGAATAGTTAATACTTTTAATGCCGCTACCTCTTAAGTTAGGTTCCGCACAGCCTCCACAAGAACCAGACTCGTGTCCATAGTTCTGGTCGTTTCTAATGTTTCCGTGTTATTTTCTGGGCGCCACTGGGTTTCTACCTCGGGATTACCCAGAACCCTCGCTGGCGTCTCGTCGACCGTATAATCCCACATCGCGTCGTTACACGCGAATCGCAAATCGGACGAATCCTTCGTCCAAGGTGTTGTCATAACCGCTATACAACACTTCAGCTCCACGTTGCCGGGTGCCATGTAACGCCGCCGCTCCCCTGTGCCGTAAATTGGGGGTGGCGAAGTCCACCCCCAGCGCGGTTAAGCGTGCCCCGCTAGCTCGAATGCCGGTTAAGACTCCCTCTCGTGCGCGCTGGTCACCGACGCCGTACGATGCGATGTATCCTGGGTCCATAGTCAGACGCGAAAACCGTTGCGAAATTCTTTTTAAAATGCAGACTAAGTCCACGAATTCTTTATAAGTTATCCTAGGATAACTGGGGGTGAAGCTATTTACAGCTAACTTCAAACTTGGATCTAAGATTTTCAACGNATAAGTTATCCTAGGATAACTGGGGGTGAAGCTATTTACAGCTAACTTCAAACTTGGATCTAAAATTTTCAACGCGGTTTAGGGTTGTTCTTTTCCCTTGGAGATTTATGTTTGTTTTTCTCCCAATTTTCTTTTGGCCTTTTTCTTTTTATCTTTACTTTCCCAAAGGAACTTTCTTTTTCCTTTATTCCTCTTTTTGTATCTTTTTCCTATCCAAAGAAATAAACTTATATGTTTCCCTTATTATTACTTCCTAGGTCCCAGACCTATTAATAAAACGAATTCTTATCTTTAAGTACGCCAGGAGAACTTAGCCAAAGCCTCTCTGGGGAGCTTTGTGCACAACGATGCCCTGAATCGAAGTGAGCTCCCGAGCCTGCGTATAGTGTTGTAGACCGAAGGGCTACTATGCAAATGAACGAAACAAAATCGAAATTTGCGTTTTATACCACTTTAATATTTATACTGAAGCCTTCAGCCAATCAGATGCCAGTATTCTGCTCCTCGCCAAGGCCGGAACCAATCAGAATCGAGTATCGAAACCCTCAGTTTACTTTTGCTATTTTTGAGGAAAATTTTCTAGAAAGTTCTAAAAAGATGTTGAAATCTGATGAAATATTGCAAAGCATGATGTCATGATTGCAAATACACAATAGTTAGGGAAGAATCACCCTTAATGACGTAAAATTTCTAAATAAAAGGGCTGGTTTTTCAGTAATGAAATCAGTTCATCGCCGAAGTCCTACTAAGTCCTACCGAAGTTCAACTAAGTTCTTTTCAACAAGTTACAAGTTAATCTTCAACCTCAAGTACGGGATATAGTGATATAAATCTACGAAAATGACATTGTGTGATTGCTCTAAATCAGTTCATCGCCGAAGTTCAAAAAGGTTCCATTCTTAGTTTACAACCTAGTTCTTCTCAACAAGTTACCAGTTAGTCTTCATCCGCAAGTACGGGGGATAAAGTGAAACAAATCTACGAAAGTAACATTGTGTGATTGCTCCGAGTCTTACCAGTCTTCGACATACAAAGTGCTCGTTAAATTGTCTAATTACCTTCAGTAATTAAAGAGTTGGATCGGAACTTAAACCGACAAAGTTTTTTAGTGCAGTTTTTCGGAAAAGCCGAAAGGATTATACAGAGGATTACATAAAAAGTGGTTAGTAAAAGTTCCGCGATTTTTTGTAATAAGTTAAATATGTTTAGTAACGTTCATTTTCATATACCTAGTACTCTTTTTTCTACGGTCTGGTAGTTTGAATTTGTTGTTTCCTGGATTTTCGTAGCAGAGATTACTCCAGCGAATCACTATTACTTATTTTGTTAGATTAATAGGTTTTTAACAGTGTTAATCTCATTGCCATTTTTCTCTTCTAGAAAAATATTATTTGTACAGTTATTGTAATATATTTTGTACCCTTTTTTAAACTTGTTTTTTTTTTTGAAGAAAACCTTTACAAGTTTTAATAATAATAATAATAAACATTTTTTTTAAGTCGAAAATAAATTTTCGAAAAGATTTTTGGATAATTTTTCAAAATAATTTTTTTTTGAACTCAAAAGTTACTTTTCGCACATAACCTCAGAAATATATTTTCTGAATAACTGTTTTTTGTCAAACTTAGTTTTTTTTCAAAAAACTTTTTGAGAATACTTTTTGAATTTTTTTTTATAAAAAATTTTAAATTCACAAAGGAACTTAGTCCTTTATTTTTCAAGGAAAATATTTTAGCAGAAATTATTTTCCCAACTTACCTTCAGGATCAGAAAGGATCCACAGTTATACATACCTGACCCAGATTTAAGAGGAATCCGTTTAGGAAACTAAAGTTTGTAGATTCACTTTAAAATTTACTGGCGCCTGACAAATTTTAAAAAATTTTTTTCAAAATTTAAATTTCTTTTTGAATCATCGCCCACTTTCCTCAATTTTTCTAAATTTTGATATTGCTCGGGCATTACTTTCATTACTTCAAACCTATCTCGGATGAGATAGACCCCAACACCTACGAACCTCACGACCCGCTGTAACTGTATCGGCGTTTATGTTAAGGTCACAGCACTAGCCAAAGCTCAGACAACTCATTTCCGAGCCAAAACTGGTGTAAATAAAACCGTAAGCGTTGACAATAGCTCGCTTTTATATGTTTCGGTGCGGTAGAGCTAGGCTCCGCCCACCTCACCGAAAACTCGACCTTATCCGACATCGGCGGATATTTAATGAATAGTGGTCGGACCGCGGACTCCACGTCGAGTGCGCCGCAGCCTACTGTTCAAAAAGGCCCCTGGCAGGAAATCACGGGGCGCAATATTGGATTTTTTGCGTCCCGTGACACCCCCGGGGTTTCGGAAAAGCATCTCTGAGTGTTGGTGTTTTGTTTTTATTCTATAAAGAAAAAATGGTTAAATACATGGCAAAATACAGTATATAGAATAATATACAGGGTG